TTTGATTTTGTTAGCGATATAAAATAACACAAACAACATGAAATAATTGGAATTTTATGGTTGTGAAAGTCTAGTCTCACAAGACAAGAAATGGCCAGCTTCGGGGATTATCCGGGAGATTTGATACTCTAATCTGGAGACCGGGAGACACGGTCCAAAATCTGGAGACTCCCTGTTTATCCGGGAGAGTTGACAGCCCTGATAACATTTTGATTTCCAAACCAAATCAGAATTGATTTTTGTGTCGTAAAACGGAAAATTTCATTCTGTTGTTGTATATTTCTATGATATTTTGCTGCCATTCAAAATCAGTCAATTATCTTCGTATTTTTATGTAAAATTATCTAATAATGAGACGGAAAGCGTCCTGGAATACCAAAGAGAAAACGAAAGTGTTGTAAGGTTCTCGTCAAAGGGACATTTCAGTGAACTAGAGATATGTTCTTTATCGACAAATCAACTTGTTTACGAAATCCACRGATATGGATGTTATCATTATCTATTTTTGTATTAGTCGTGGTATATCTTTGTTTCAGTGGATTATTGAAGAATGGTAGAGATACGAGCGGTGTATATAGAAGAGGGATAGTGGAGGCTCATGATAGGATATACGATAGTTTGCTGTTACCAAGGAGATACCATGCAACTGGTCTTGTTAGTCTTCCATTTGATGAGATCAATGAACCGTTTGAAGCGTGGTCGACAACCCACCAAACACATGAATATCAAAATTAGTAAAGCTTTGGCATGGGTGCCGCAGACTTTAGATTCGAGAGATAATGGTAAGTCTGCGCATGCTCACATAGTCTATATCGGCAAATTCAACATTTCAAAACGTTTTCGCACTAAATCGTAAAAAGCAAATTCGATATTGAGAAAATGCCAAAACTTTGAGTCAGTTGTTGAAACTTAACCATATTTTCTTTATCAATACAGTATCTATCTAAAAATAAAAAAGGCCAAGGGAGGAAAATGCTCTCTTGAGATTACCTGTGGGGTTTCCATGTTCAGCTTTTAAAGAAATAACAAAAACTTCGTTCTAGGAGAATAAGAACGAGCAGAAAACCGGAGAATTCAGAGGAATAAACCTCTGAAAAGAGGGTATAGGAGAGAACCAACAAACAACTCTATTCACATATGGTAATGAGTTCATGCAGAGAACACGTGACCACACCGATAAGGGACGGCACATTAACAGCGCAAACCACCCAAACATAAATCCTCATGTCTTTCAATCTCAGGCAGMCTGCCATTCCCAGAAATTAATAWGTKCAAAGTGAAAGGATTTATGAAGACGAAATTCGACTTATTTACTCTTCTTGTTAAAAACGCATTATATCCCTAGTGGTCAAGATTTTAAAAKGTTTTTATCRTTTTTTTTTTCTTCTCATCATTATTGTCTCTAATAAAATCAGGTGGCGTCCAGAAATCGATCTCAGATCGTTTGTAATCAAAAGGCGATAATTTCAGCGCCGATAYATTCATCTTCTTCTCCATGTCGACAAAGGATACCTTCTCCATTTTCAGAAAGGGAAAATCCTTCCCGTGTAATTTTGACGTTGAATTGAACTTGATAAAGATTGGTTCATTTGTTAGAATCCCACATTGATTGTCCTTTCGGGATATCTTAATAAAGCCTTCGTCGCCCCAGAATTTCCCCCAGGAATTCTTTATAATCCAGTGCTCCTTGCCGTTTTCTTTTCCATAACCAACGATAACAACACCATGATTTGTATGTGGACCTGTGTAGCAAAAAAATAAAATCTTAAAAATCCGGAAAATATCTCAAGCAATTATACCTTCCCTAACTAAACCCTGTGTTCCTTGAATATACAGACTCATTTACTCAGGCTTRGCTTCGTATCAGTGTCTAAATATTCACAAATACCAACGATAAGGTAAAGAATGCACARYTTCAACAATACAAACACTTTGAAATTTCACGGACCTTCACTGGAACATCTTGGTTTATCAAAGTCAGGAGACGGCTTCCTCACAGATTGAATTTATATTAGCGCATTTTGCGGAGAGAGGAAAACCGGATATTCTTGAGTTCACGTTATTTGAAGAAAMACTTTCAGATATTGAAAGTTAAAAGAGAAAAATCATTCAATTTTTATGGCTAGCTTCGTCAATAAAATTTTTCATTGCTAAAGAATTYGTTGATAAATCTTTTGTTATATCAAAATTAATTTAACGAATTTGGTGGCCATGAAGCATGCATGCTCAACATACCACACTTGGGATCGTCTAAAACTCCCGAACTGTAGAATTTGAACGATTTTCTGTTAACATTGATGGCAATGGACGCCGGGCCATACCACGCAAGACCACGCCTTAGTGCATCTTCGTCGTTCTTGGGCGTGGTCATTACCCGAGAAAACTGGACTGATGAGCAGTTGTTTTTCGGTGCACAGTGGCAGTATCCTTCCTATGGGAAAAGGAAAAAACGGGAAAATAAAAGAAAGATGGAAAGAATACTGTTCACACAAACAAGAAACGAAATGTGAGATGTTAAAACAGTGGATTAGTTTCATTCTCAAATAAAAATATTAAAAAATTGGAGTTGCGAGACTTTTTATAAAYGATATGAGTTTATAATGTCGTGACATGTCACGTATAACGCACCTGTGCTAGATATCTACCGTACGACTCGCTAGATGTYACGCCAAACTTTCTTGCCCAAACCAAAGCCTTCCACGAATATCCACCGCGGCATCCGTTGTTTCCAAACCCCCAGGTGCAGTCTAGAAGCTGTTGCTCCGAGAAATCAACTAGTTTACCTGTCTAACATCAAAATATGTTAAAGGAGCTCATGACTACGTTACCATGACAACGATGACGAACGTTAGAAATATATTAATAAAAAAGTAATTTATTGTGGTAAGTAGAAATTTGTATTGTAGTTTCCATGGATACCTCTATGGCGTAAGCTCCTTCTATTGGYCCCATAGCAGAGAACGTCCAGCAAGACCCGCAGTGACCTTGCGCCTTGGCGGGTGTGACAGCTCCTGAGATAATGACCAATTATGTATAGTTTGTAATCTGTTATTGAGCATTATCGAGCATTACAACAGGTCTCTGAGAGGGAGGGGAGAGGTTAACTACCATTGCACCAATCAACAAAATTGAGTTCCTTTCTAGACGATTATTTTGACGTTGCTCCATTACCAGTTTCTTACCATATTCTCTCCAGTCCAGATTGCCAGGCAGAGGCTTGTGAGGGATGCTGAATCGTACTTCTGGTATAGCCTGTTTCTTTAGCTTTTCGTCTCCTCCGCTGGGGTCGATCAGGAGACCTTTGTAGGTTTCGAACTCTTCGTCTGTTACATCTGCAAGCTCGTTGGGATCAAGGGTGTAGCTGAGAGCAGCCCTGTTGTGAGACCTTATATATCTAGAAGTTAAATAGTATACAACAGACTATGAAGAACTTTTCAATATCATTGAACGGG